ATTTAGAGAGTACAAAAAAAAATTTGCAATTTTTCCAAAATTAAGATGTACAATTCTAGGGATTTAATTTATAACTCCTTGTGGGAGTAAAATTCAACTCTTATGGAGAAGAGTATTTGTACCTTTTTGGATATTAATATCCGGAGTATTTTTAGTCCCTTTTGAAAACGATTAAATTTGTTATTTCTTACACTGTAAAAAAAGGGAGTTAAATAACTCCAAACGGAGTTCTATAAAAATCGCACCTTTTTGGAGTTAAGTTTTTTGGATCCTTAGGGAGTTAATTTTATCCCAAGGGAAGTTTTCTTTTGGAGCATATTTTTTTATAAAAGGAGTAAAATTTTCGGTGTTAAAAATCATTCCTGAAAATTCCTAACAAGTATTTTTGTATTAACTCCTCATATGGAGTTAATATAATGACTATTAGGGATTAAACAGCCAAGAAGTGAAAAACTCCCTAGAATTTTACTCTCTTTGCTTAATTTTCAAAATGTAGATCTTTTTGTATAAATAAAAATTTTCCTCTTTTACCAAATTCATTGAATATAATTAAAAAAAGAACAATTATCCGACAGGTTAATTCGCAGGTATTTAAAATTAAAAAATTATTCTATTATAGAAGGCGTGGTTGCAATAAGGCGGAGCGAGTTTCTGTCACATTGAAAAGACATCAGCGAAAATCTTATAAATACAGAGAGAGTTGCATAAAATACTTCCTTGTATTGTAGTAGCACATGTTTCTACACATGTTTATGTGTTTGAATATGAATCAAAATGAGAGAGAGTGAGAGAGAAAGAGAGAATACTCGCGTTATCCTATATGTAATATTTACCTCCTTCATAAGTCTGTCTCCCTGTTTTGCGATTTGCGATTTCTCCTCCTCTTTTTATTTTTCCTCCTCGTTTGTGTTTGCGTATACAAACTACATGCACTCCTGGTTCATAAATGTGCCTCTTAAGAAATTTTATAAGCAAAGGCGAATCTCTTTGCGTTTGAAAACAATAGCGGGAAATGCGCTTTCAACGCGAGCGAACATTTAAGTATTATTTATATCCATAAATTTAATGTATATATATATATATATATATATATTCAGCGAGTGTTGAGCTGAATTTTAAACAAGCAAATTATCGTCGATTAAATAAAAAAAAAAATTTATCAATCCTTTCGTTTTGAAATGAGAAAAATTTCTAAAAAAAATATTTTCTATACTGAAAAAAGTACACGGAAACAAATATTTACCTGTAACAGCTAAATATTTCACTAGAATAGCGAAAGATTTAATTGAAACAAATAAAATTTTTGCTACTACAGTGAAACATTACACTGTTCTAGGTAAATCTTTTTTTCCATGTATAATTAATTCAAGAAAATTACACACAGAGAAATGAAATATTTGTCTCACAGCCTAATAAATATTTCAGGGTGTCTACTAGTCCTGGAAGTCCTGGAAATGTCCTGGAATTTGAAAAAATGTCCTGGAATGTCCTTGAAAGTCCTGGAATTTTTTATATTTTGCTTTTAAATTTTCAAAAATTTATAATTTTGTCAATCAAGTTAAAAAATATTCATTAAATAAATAAAATAAAAATTTACTTACACTCAGAGAAATGGTATATTTGTCTCCGAGCCTACTAACTCATTTATTTGTTGCAAATATATTTCATTTCATTAAAATAAAAAATTTATTTGAGCCAAAGAAAAATTTATTTCTGACAAATAAAATTTTTATTTACGCCAAATAAATAAGTTAGTAGGCTCTCAGACAAATATACGTTTATTTAACTCAAATATATTTTATTTGGTTCAAATAAATCATTTCTCTGGGTGTAAGTGATTAATTAATTTTTTAATAATTTCTGAAAACAATAGTTAAAATAAAAATTTTTTTATTCCTTAAGGTCATCCAATTTAATGTCTTGGAAAAATAAGAAATTTTTCCTGGAAAGTCCTGAAAAAGTCCTGGAATTTTAATTCCCTGTATTTGATTGAAAAAAAAATTTTATTTGATTTAAATAAAAAAATTTATTTTCGCCAAATAAATAGGCTGTGAGATAAATATACGTTTATTTAACTCAAATATATTATATTTTCAATTAAATATACTATATTTTTCCAGTGTAAAAAAATGAGGTATTCTACACTTTAATTTGGTTTTTCACAATAAATTAGGGCGCAAATGTGATGAAGAGAAAAACTAAAAAAAATATTTGACTTAAATAATTCGTTACTTGACTCAAATAAATATTTATTTGTAAGAAATAATTATTAAGATTTTGTTTCAAAAAATAAATCATACAATTTGATAATCGTAATCGATTATTTGAATGAAATATAAATTATTTTTAAAAATATAATAATTTAATTTTTTTTAAACTATCAATTTAAGGAACATAAATGAAAATAAAAAAAAAGTTTAAGATGAATTAATGCGATGATATACGAATGTGTATATATATATATATATATATATATATTGCGCATGTGTATATATTTATAAGCCTTGGAGAAAGCTTGAGGAAAATATGACAAGATGGAATTGTTAAAAGGATGATAAAATGCACGATACGTGTGGTAAGAGAAAGAGACAACATTTCGAATAATCTCCGGGTCTCTGGGAGGCTTTATTTATACCCAAAGCTCCGTATTATTGGATCACCCCCGCGCGACACTGCGCTACGATGTAAATGAGTTTTATGTGACGTCTGTCTTTCTACTTTGCTTGCCTCAGTTTACTTGGTGAAGCGTGAACCCAAAATAGGACGACTAAATGGAGAAGAGGATATAGGGATGTAAGAGAGTTTGGCTTTTATTCATATGCATCATTGATGATGCACCGACAAATATTTTTTTTTTTTTTTTTTTTTTTTCTTATATTACTTCATTTATTTTTCGTATATTATTATGAAACAGACTCTGACATAATCCACCGTCTGTACATATAAATTATATAGGAGAGATGATAAAAATTTTATTTACGAGTCCAATATCATTATTTTCTGTGAAGACATTGATTCATCATTTTGTTATTTCAATGCGTGAGATCAAAAAAAAAAAATTTCTTTTTATAATTTCGAATGATATGTAGCCACTCTAGCGACATTTTTTTGTGGCACTAAAAATAATATAAAAAAATATTTATTTCAATATTCTTAATTTGAGAATAATTTTTTTTATAAGAGACACATCGCTGTATAAAGGTGCCGAGCGTAATCACGTTGGCGAGTGTTAACAATTAATTTGAGTGAATTAATCGATAAAGTTTGATTTGTTAATTCGCATTATTAATACATAAGTATAAAAAAAATATATTCTCGCAAATTTAATGACAGCCAGTTAAATAAAGTATATAAAGGGGAATGCGGGCAAGGCGTCGTCGGTGTTCGATGGGGAATTCTGTTTAAAAGGAATGTAACGGGGGAGTTTGCATTCTGTGCATTGTATAAATACTTATAGAGAATCTGCTTATGGGAATACTGTATCGTTCTTTCATGGGCGCGCAACGAGCGAAACTTCAGTATTTATCTTGAATTAAAAAGAAGAGAGAGAGAGAGGGATAAATACAAAGCGAGGTTCGTAAATTCTGTGAACGTTAACAAATACCAACTTGCAGTTTCACAAGAGAAAAAAATGTCACACATGAAAATTAAATAAAAAAGGCTCCTTTTTTTTTCCTTAATTCTTACAGTCCCATTGCAATATATTAATGTAACATTGTTTTATATACTTTCCGATTTAAGTATTTATTCGATATTACAATACAATAAAATTACAATTACAATTACAATTACGAATTTCAACAATTTTCGAAACGTTACCCAATTTTTCGTCTTTTTTTTGTATTTGTAATTTTTAGAAAAAAAATTTATTTGATTCAAGTAAATATTTGTTTGATAATAAACGAATTATTTGGATTAAATAAATTTTTCTGTACTTTTGAGAATTGTTACGAATTAGCAGAATAAATAACAAATTTGTATGTTTTTGCAATAAAAAATCTGCAAAACCACAATGAGTGGAAATCACTGTGAAATTACAGTGATTGAAATTTAAGGAGTTTAAAATGACTGGTTAAATGCAGTATAGTAGCTCGTGCCGCTTCATCTCTGGACCACCTTCTCTTCTTCTTGCTACCTCTCTTGAAGTTTCTCTTCATTTCTTCTTTATCACTCCAGTTATCGTGACCTCCTGCTTCATTCATCTTATTCTTATTTTATCCCAGCTCTAAAAAACACACACAAAATTTTATATTAGAAACGAAATTTTTTTAAAATATTAAAATTATTTTCTTTAACAACAATTTTTGTACAACTAAAAATTAAATTACAAAATAGAAATAAAATTTTGATACACTGGGAAGTTATATATATATATATATATTGAAAAGGAAGGAAGAAAAAATAACGAAGGCATATATTTCTTTTTTGATGCTCGGTATATCGTTGTTGTTACATTGCTAAACCGCTTTGAATTCAGATTGCGGTGTGTTCGACTGGTTTCGTTTTCCGTCTTTGAATTCATGCAATCCGTCCCGTCGTTGCGCGTTGCTACGTATTTATAGGTATATCCTTAGTTCCTTTGTGTGTTAATTTGTACCTTGGTCGGGGAGCGCACGCGTGTGCAATCTGCGAACGCATGAAGAATGTCGTGTCTTCGTTTTAACTATATTATTCCGATCTCGAGCAGAACGTTAAATGAATCACGATTTAGATTATTATTATTATTATTATTATTAATGCGCTTCCGTCGATTTATTTCATTCTTATTATATATTGATAAATAATAATCTTATTCGCTATTATTGAAATTTTATTGACTATTGACGTCAGATTTTGGTTTTTTAGGTACCCCCCTATTTTTTAGATAAAAACAATTTTTTTAAGAGTTGAATTTACTGAATTTGAAATAATTTTACTCGATTGTAATAATCCTTATAATAATCATCCTAAATAAATAGGACTTTCAAGATTTATATCTAAAATTTTTTTTTGTTTTTCAGCACTAAAGGTTAAATTGATGCTAAGGCGACCAATTAATCAACTGGTAGCACAGGGTATCATGCCTCGTGAGTATTTTTTATATTTATATAAATTTTGATCTAATTTATCCAAAAAATTTGTACCGAATCATTTTTATTTTGCAAAAAAAAAAAAACATTTTAGTAATGTATTGAATTAGAAAAGAAAAATTTTTGTTCTATAATTATTTTTAAAAGGTTTGCGAAGAAAAATTTCCAAAGAAACTGAAATATTCTCATGATAATTCATTAGATACATGTCGCAACATATATGAAGTAAATGTTTTTGTTAGTTACCTTTTCTTACAATTGCTACTGATTAATCCAATTACTACTTAATTATACCCAAAGATCACAGAGTGCTAGTTAACTCGAGAACTGAGAACACATAACTCGCGAAAGCTTTTAATGTTTCTAATACCTCAAATGAACGTCATCAATTGAAGATCGTAGTCTATAATTGATAGCTAAACTTTTTTTAAAGATTAAATTTTTTTTTTTTCTGAAAAAATAAAATACCGAGCAATCATTTAATTAATGATTCTTATGGAATTAATTTTCATTAAAAAATTTTTTTTTTTTAACTATTTCGATTTTATTACAGCTTTGAAAACACCACCTGCATTTTTTGAACAACGAAAGCAGTTGGAGAGAGCAAAAACTGGCGATTTGTTGAAAGCAAAAATTCAACAAAGACCCGGTAGAGATGAACTTGTACGACAACATATTTTAGAAGATGTTGGACATGTGGATCCAAGTCTTGCCGAAAAGCAACGAATGCTGAAAAAAGCTAGACTCGCTGATCAACTCAACGATCAATTAAGTCACAGACCAGGACCTCTTGAATTAATTCAAAAAAATATTCTTCACACCGAAGAACCTATTGAAAGAGCAGTGAAAGGTTAGTTTTTTTTTTATTTATTACAATTAATTTTTGCCAATTAGGGTCAATTGACTAAAAATAATTTTTTTTTTTTGCAGAGGGTCACATTCCCTTTAAGGCAACTTGCGAAGGTCAAGTTACGAAGCCCCAGCATCCAGACCATTATATTACTTTCGAGGACGATTCACAAAGTTCGGAAGGTGCTCCTTCACCTTCTTTAGAATCACGAACCGATGTATTAGAAACGGCTGCAGCTTCAGCAGGAATTGTTACAGTTTCCCTCAATATACCAACAACGGGCGGTGCTGTTGTTGTCACATCAACATCACCTGTTTTTCAACAAGCCTCAACTGAACCAACGATACAGACATTTGCCGATTTGTGTAATTCTGTTGTCGGTAATCAAACCTTCCAACACAATCAACATGTTTCGACGCAGGTATGCTTTCTTTTTTTTTTTTTTTAAATATAAAGTGATAGTTACACAATTTTGGAGGATGCACACAAATTAAACTTTTGTGCTGCTGTTTTACAGGCGAGTCAAGCCAACGGACCCACGTCGACGCTTCTCCCACTAGCACCAGCGCCAAGTCCCATGTCCCTGGGTTCGACGACATCCAGCCTGAGTCCACTTTCGAATATTTCGATAGCATCTCCTCCCGCTCTACCTCCTGCCGCCATCACCCCAAGGCCTCAACCAAGTCCGATCTCAGCCGCTGTCGCCGTTGCCGCCTCCGCATGTCAAAGAAGCGATGCGCCTGGAAAAGACAAGAATCGAAAGAAGTCCAAAACCAAAAGTCAACCCAAAACCCGTACAATCAAATTTCACGAATATAAAGTAAGTTTAGCAGCTTTCAAGAATCATTCTAATACTAAGGTTCAAGATTGAAATTAAAAAAATAACTAGATTGATCAATTTTTTTATTTGGAATCAAAAAGAAAGAAAAAAGCTCTCCTCTCTCTTTCTCTCTCTTGAAAGTCAAGATTGTATCGGGTGATTAACTTTAGTGATCTCGCTTCGGGTCCACAACCACAGCTACCTCGTTAGGTCTGAGTAATTCGAGCGCTAATTGCACTTAAGAAGGAGGTAGCCGGGAGCAAGGAGAGCGCGTGTTGCCCAGTAGGTGCCAAACCCAAACCCCCAACTCTTTGGGATTCAACCATATATACAAGATGATATCGTGTGGTGAGAAAGCGTGCTGGACATTGCCAAAACAAAATATAAAAAAGAATTAAGAGAGAAGAGTATATATATATATATATATATATATATACATACACTATTCAATCTTGCACAACCAAACCATAAATAACGTTACTTTTTATTATACATATATCGACAAATTCCATTTTATGTCTTCGAAACTAATTTAAAAAAATTCTTTTTCATATATTTTAAAATTTGACATGAAAATGCGTGAATCTTTCCAAAGATTTCAAAAATTATGCAAAAAATATCGTTTTCTTAATTAATGGGATTTTTTTTTTTTTTAAATAAGCGATTCATTAATTTCTTAATAGGGTCCACCAAGTGCGCAAAAGACCTCAATATCGTCTGTTCCAACCGGCCTCAATTCAACTTCTCCTGGTGAAACCAGCTACGAGTTGTTACTTCAACAACAACAACTCTTTCTGCAATGGCAACTTGAGTGGCAACATAAGGTAATTTTAATTTTTCTATTTTTACATTTATAAATAATAATTAATTAAAAATATTTCTTTACAGTATCCACAAATTATACTTCCGGCTGCACAGAAACCACTTACCCTTCCAAATAGTGGAGCAAACGATACAAATAGTGTTAGTAATAGTAGTGTCAATGCACCAAGTCCTGCTCCTTCAAATTCCTCAAGCAATACTATAGAACAACCGCCACTGAGGCCACTTGGTAAATTAGAAGATATGAAAGGTGAATATTTCACTATTTTTCAAAATAAATTCTTATAATCATAAATTAACAATTTTCATAACTTACAGTGAGTGATCTCAAAATTGAATTGAAGAGAAGAAATCTTCCAGTGTCTGGATCGAAACCACAATTAATTGAACGATTGAAGCCATTCACAGAAGCGTCAACCAATGGTTCAACGTCAAATTCGAATGGACCACACGTTACACACATGGGTCATATACTGATGGATACTCCGGGACCAATGGCCTTAGATGAATCTAGTTCCCATGCCAAAAGTCCATGTTCAGTCCTAGTTAAAGATGAACCATATAGTCCGAGAACGGATTCACCGCACGGCAGTGAACACGATGATCCATTAAGTCCTCCTGGTAAAATTCATTCATTTTAAACAAATTAAAAATCAACTACTTAACTTATTATTATTATTAATATTATTAATCGTTATTTTGAGTGAAGAATAATTTTGCATAACTTTCAGGTGATGATATAATTAAAGAACAGAGAAAACGTATCGAGGAATTACAAAGGGAATTGTATAAATCACAACAACAATTACAACAAATACGCCAAACACAACCAACTACTGTACGTGCTGAAAAATTGGTTCTTCAGCAGCATATACAAAATAAAATGCAACAACAACAATTGGCTCTTCATTTACAGCAATTGCAGCATTTACAACAGCAACAACAACAGGCAATGCAACAAAATCAACAACAAACCAATGCAACGACTCAGCAACAACACGCTGCCTTTCAACAACACAATGCTAAAGCAAGTTTAGCAGCATTTTTACAAGCTCAGCCCAATAATAATACAACTAATGTTATTGATTCAACAACATTAACTGCAATAAATAATAAAAAGAATCAAGTTAAAAATAATACAACCGTACAATTACCAGCGGCAATTGTATTGAATTTAGCCAAAGCAACAAAATTAAATGGCTCATTATTAGGGGCGTTGGTAGCGCAAGCACAAACACAACAGTCAACATCCACGTCAGAGGAAAATAAACCACCGCCACCACAATATGACGAAGCTACCAAACTTCTAAAGGTAAAAACTATAAATAGAAACTAATAAAATAAATTTTCTAATTATTAGGGATTTTAATTAATAATTAATTTCCATTAAAATAATATTACTAATAATTGAAATAATTTTTTCAGGTGAAAATAGAGCCTGCTCAGAAGAATCACATAAAGAGTCAAGTTGTTGACGATGTCTTGGAAATATTAATAAAAAATGGAGAACTACCGCCGAGTGCAGCTCAAGATCCAGCAACACCAACAACGCCAAATCGTCAAATGCCACAAAACATTGTTTTTACAACTTCAACGGAAAATCCATCGCAATCGTTAGTGTTTACTACGTCGAATCCAATTAGTCCAATTAGTCCTGAGGCAATGGAAATTTCTCAAGCCACCGGTTGTTCTAGTCCTTCACTTAATGCGCAACCACCACCACCTCCACCTCCTCCGCCACCTCCATTACCACTTGCCACATTTTCAGTTCAATTACCAACATCGTTACAACAAATGCACGAACAACAAGATCATCATCAACAACAACATCAAGAAGAAATATCGTCATTTAACGCTGACCTATTGACATCAGCCGAAGCTGAATTGGATGCTGCTATGCTACTCAGTCCACAATCAATGCAAGCTGCATCGCCTGATCCACAACCACGACAAGAAGTTGCCACATCAGATAATACCAATTTAGACTTAAAGGTAAGGTAATTTTTTATTTTAAAATAAATTCAATGTTTCTTCAACTTTTTTTTTTTATTTTTTCAGGAACTTGGCCTCGATTTAGAAACACTAGACACAATGGATTTTGGTCAATTAGAATGTGATTTAGGTGTTAAAATGTCAACACCACAGGAATTAATGGATATTGGCGATATGCCGATGGATATGGATGATTCTGATTGGCTAGATTCCCTAATGCCACAATCACCACCACCATCAACAAGTACAATTAATAATAGACCAACTCCAGTGCATACATCATCAAGTGATTTCTTTGATCCATTACTTGCTAATAGTCAAGATCCATTTGAACTTTTTAGTATGGAGGATAATGATTTTAAAATGTCCTCCGATCTCTCATTAACATGGGATAAAGTGGATTTTGCCACCTAGCCAGAAGTACTCTCATTCATATGTACTTAACTAGGAAAAATATTAGCAAAGACTTAAAACAAAAACAAGAATCTAGTGCACTTTATTAGTACCGAAAAAAGGCACTGATCAACATCACATATTCATATATATATACACATTCTACGTATATAGATATCTAATTAAAAATTTTACCACTTTTATATGATCCTTAAAATATCCAAAACCAGCTATGAAAATTAGACATAGCTTTTATGAACAGCTCAAAACTGAAAAAGTATGTACTTTGTTTCAGTTTCTAGCAGGGCGTTTAGTGATTAGCAACATAAGTCTATTTAAAAACTTAAGTTATTTTATTCTCTATAATTCAAATTTCTTTCAAAACAAAAAAAAAAAAAAAAAGTCAAAAGAAATTTCCTAATTCGTGATAACAATCGTATAATCGTACATTTTATTAATAATAATGTACTAAAATGTCTATGCAAAGCAAACATTTTTTTGCAAAATTATTTCCAATTTATTATGTTTGATATTTTTATTCATATATTTAGACAAAAGTAAAAAAAAAGCAGACAAGAATTGTCCCTAAATTATGTATCATTTAATAAGAAAAGATATTCGTAACATTACATTAATGTTCATTAGATAGGTATAAATTTTAAAAATTTATATTTTCAAAAAAAAAAATATACTCGAGTTGAAATTAGAAAATAGTGAAAGGAAGTGTGAACTTGTTTTAATTGAAATTTTCGAAAAAAAAATTTAATTTTTGAATAGTATAGAAAAAATAATAATGGTGCTAAAGGAATATAAAAAATATTGATGAAAATAGTTTTTAAAAGCGACTGGAATTCAGATAAAAAAAAATTTTTTTTTTTCGTTATTGCAGTTTACGACTAGGACGTATATTATTTCACTTGTGTCATGCTTCGCTTCAAAGTTAATAATTATGAATAATGTGTGCATCATAAGCGTGTGTAAGTCATAAAATCATGTATTAATCTAGCTTTCAAAAAAAAAAAAAAAAAAAAAAAACCCCTTTTTGTCATAATTATTTTAACATGGTCAGATTAAAGTTAAATAAGAAACAAAGTATTAATTAAGAATATTGTAAACTACTTGTAACATGGTTCAAGTGATGTGGTAGAAAATGCCCTTTAAACACCAAGTAATTATCCAATTACTGTGTGATTGGATAATACTTTATTACCAGACCAATATTTTAAATGTAAATTCTTTAAACCCCTTTTTAACAGAATTTTTAACAGTGCAGTGTTTATATGTTATTAATTTTCTTGTTGTGTTATGACATTCCATGTTTTCGAACTAAAATAGATAAGAGAAAAGGAGTTTAAGCAAATAATCGTTCAATATTTAATTATTGATATTTTAAAAAGTGCAAGTGATTATACATCTTTCCGAAAAGAATTCTTGATTTTTATTTTACAATGAATTTATAAAAATAATTGAAAATAAGAATGAATTTTTTCTTATCTGAATTATAGACTTTTAATTGTAATTGTCGATTTTAATTTTTATAGAAACGTCTTTTTAAAAATATTGTTATTTTTTTTTTTTGTAGAGAAAAGTAGTTTAAAAAGAGGTTGAAATCGATTCGCTAAATGGATATTTTTAAAAATATATTCTTTTATAATTATTACATATGTTAATAATATTTTTTAAAAAAAAAAAGTTCAGTAACTTGAAAAACTCCTGCTATACCTAATGTTATAAAATAATATCCTAACAAAACCAAATTGAAACTATATGGATAAATATTTATATATATATATCACTGCATTTACTAAAAAAAAAAATATAACTTTTTTATTTCAATGAACGATGAAATAAAATTTGAAACACTGTTCGAAAAATGTCATTCTTGTTATATGTTTGTCATCTGATATAATTAATCTGCATTTATAACTTGACGATTTTGAATACAATTTCTTTTTTCTAAATGCAGAACTTGTATAATTTTTTTTTTTTTTTTTTTTTTTTTGAAAAATTTGAAACGCTATACTTTAGGATTAAAGCAGAATCAATAATAAAAAAATTCTTATTGTAAATGACCATTTATTATTAAAATGTGGCAAAAAAAAAAATGTATAAATTAAGCCATTGCCATAACAATAAAAAATTTTATTGTTTTTTTTTTGTAAAATATTGTATCATATGTCGTACATGTAAGCGTATACATAAATATAAATATATATATAAATAATTATAAGTGAAGCGAAAGCAAAAAGTACAGAAATTGTATTAAAATATCATACTGCTTTTTAAATGCTTCCAGATTTTTAGAATTTGCCTGTACATTGAATTACCCATTTCAGTTATATATGACGAATTTATATAATTAATTAATTAGGCTGTGCGTCTGATGTCGGAAGTGCATGTGTTTATTTAATCCATGAAATATGATTGTAATGCTTTGTGAATATTATTATTAATATTATATTATATTGAATAAAAGGGGGGGAGTCAAAAGTTGAGTATGCTCTGTGAGAAAGAGAGAAAAAGATATGTTGATTTTGTTGACTATGTATAATTGAATAACGATGTAGAGAACGTGTTATTTATTTTTATTTGTTGCAAATTTATCGATTGCCTTCCATTTGAGTAAATAATAAATAAATGAAAATAATTTCTTGATTTTTCTTTAAATCTACATTAAGTAAATTATAAATAAACTGATTAAAATAACGTTTAAATAACGTTTTAAACGTTTAATAACGTAAAAATAAGTTTAATATAATATTTCACTTTATTTGTTTAATACAAATTTTTTTGTTAATGATTTTTCATCACAATACAAAATTTTAAATATTTGAAATTTAAAAATTTTCCCGCTTTAAAATTAAACGTCATAAGAAACAGGGATGGGAAGCTAAGGCACTATTGATCGCCGTCAAACTTGGGTGTAGAAAAAATGAAAATAAAGAAATTCTTTTTATATAATTTTAAAAATTTATCTAGTTTTAATAACATATGTAATATGATTTTACTTTACGTAGAATATATTACAAGATCTCATAATCGAACAAATTCGATTAAATTCTAAATTTGTTACAGTGCGCTGTGAACGGACCTTAAGTAATCGTAGAAGTCTGACGTGACGTTCACGTCAAGTCAAAGACTCACAGACAGCAGTCACAGTGTGAGTCACAGATTAATCAAGTCATTTTAGGTTATATTAGTGTCATGACGTAAAAGAACAAATTCAAACGAGTTCAATTGTTTCTCGGTAAGTAAAATCTTTCTTGATTTTTCACTTTTTTTATGCTAATAAATGTTTGTCAATTATGTTTTACATGAAAATAAGACAAGTGACAGTGCAATGTGAACACTGGAAAAATTTACATAACTTAATGTTTGATTTTTTTCGTTTTTTTTCCCAATTGTTTACTGTTTTTGAAAAACGTGATTTTTACAATGACAATAAAAAAAAACGTATTACTACTTTTGAAACGTAATTTTAAGTTTAATTTTTGTCATTTCTTTATTGTACATTGCGCAGACGTCCGTAATTGATAGTTTTTGACGTCACTGCAGACTTATCACATGTTCAGTTATAATCAAATCTTTTAGTGACGTCATGTATTGATGACGTCTTGTATTTTATCTTCTTACTAGTAAATTTTATAGCTTCAATATAAATTCATTCTTACAAATAATATTTGCTAATAAACTTCTATCTAATATATAACTCCTGTCATTTTATTTCTACATATCAAAAGTAAAATGAGTTAAATGATTATTTTCTTTTTTTTTCAAAAAGTAAATCTTTTGGGTAAAAAACAATTTTCGAGTGTATAGTAACATTTTTTTTTTTTATAGACAAAAGTGGGAGTTTATTTTGTCTGTATATATAAAAAAAAGAGTATTTTGTAAGTAAAAAAAAAAAAATTGTGTAATTTTTAACATTTAACACTAGGCCAACTTGCTTGTTTAATATTTCGGTATTTGACGCAATCGTCCATGAATTGACCATTTCCAAATGGTAACTGAATAATATTTATCTCATATCCTGAATTAACAAATATTGCATTCATTGATGGAATATGTAACTTATTTATTAATTCGTCATTCTGAAATGCTCCAGTAATTGGATTTGGACCACCACAACGTGTTTTTGCAAGAATGCAGGCAGTTGTGTTGACAAAAATTTTTGCTAAATGAATTTCAATATTTGTGATTGTTGTTATTTGCATTTGACGAATTGCTTCATTAATACATTTACCAATCTGCAAATTGTTTTGAATTAAATCTTTTAGAAAAATTACAAAAATTAATAATTATCGAAAATACATTACCAGTGAATTTTTATTAACTTGTCGAACACATTCTAAAAACGAGCAATAAATTACTGGAGAATTTGATGTGAAATTTGTGTTTTTAGTTGCATTCTACAAAAAAAAAAGTTAACAGTTTTCATATTTTCTAATATTAAATAATTTATAAACTTTTTTTTAATTTGATTTAAATTTAAAATTTAGTTTTTTTTTTAATAATATTGTTTTTAACTTACTTTTAAATACATTTGGCAATGACCATAATTTGTATTGTTGAGATAACTGTCTGCACATTTAGTCATTGACAATAATTGATTATTTGCTCTAAAGAAACAACCAGAACACGCATCACGTTTAATAGTATTACTTCCTTGTGATTCATTACATAATTGATTAAGAAGTTGAATAGTTTTCACACTAAAATTTCAGAAAATATAGGTATATATTTTTTTTTATTAAATAAATGCCGAAATTAGCTTATTAGTGTTGAATAAAAATTTTATTTTCTTTATATTTGCGCTTTTAAATTATATAAACGTACTTGCTAACACTATTTAACATTTTTGAAAATCCATCATACACTAATCCCTCATTATAGCTCATAATAATAATGAAAAAGAGTAATAAAAAAATTAACAACGTCATTCTCGTTAAATATTATTTTCACAATGTGTTGAAATAGAATCAATTCCAAGTTTTTATACATCAGAGATACCAATCATAGATCACGTACCTGCCAGGTATGTGTACACTTGGATATTTTTTTTTTTTTTAAATTGATGTAAAAAAGATGCAAATTACTCGGCTGGCAACGTGACATAAATATCTTCAATTTCATTGCCCTTTTACAAACAATGTTTATTTCTTGTACGCACTTTTTTTTTTAGTCGGGGAAAATATTGCATAACACTAAATAATAGTACTATATATATGTATATATATATGGTAGATTAATCCGTTCCTGTTACATACTCATCATTTTTAGTATCATTTATTGTATATGTGTGTTTAGGATGCACTGACCTAATTATTTTGAACTGTGATTATTTTGATATTTAATTCATATATACATAGAGGAAACGACCTGAATACGAAATGCCAAATCTTTTTTCATATATAGGAAATTTGCACAAAATCTGTTAAGCGCGCGAATTAAAAGATTAGTAGGTCACTTTTAAAAGGGGATTAAAATATTTAAGCTTTCTCGTTTTTTTTTTATAAACAATATTACAAATAAACAAACAAAATTAAAATTCGTAAAGAATGTGATATTTTGTCCCCCTCCCCCACCCTCCTTCCGTGAAAGTGAGTTTCTAATTACGAAAATCATTAAAGTATATAGGAACATGTAAACACCAACATGAAAGTTATTAAAACTTTTTATAATAAGGAAATTTTAAAAAGTGTCCTAGAATTTTAAATAAAGAAAATTTAAAAATTTTAATTTATTTAATATTTAAAAATAGTTTTTCTAAAATAACTAAAGAAATTATAAATATTTTTTTCTTATATCCAGAGAAATTAATATAGTGAAACCCACGTATATTAACAAAGGAAAATTTTTTTTTAAATTAAAATATAAAAACTTACCGACCTACAAATCTACCTTACCGACTGATGGTAAAACAGGGGTTTTAAAATAAAAATATAAAAAAATTACCGACACAGAAATCTACCTTGCCGACTGATGGTAATTTTTTTGAAAAATATATATAAAATTATTGTCATAGAAATCTACCCTACCGACTGATGGTAAAACAATTTTTTGGAAAATAAAAATATAAAAAATTACCGACACAGAAATCTACCTTACCGACTGATAATACAACAGTTTTCAAAAAATTAAAATGTCGATAATTTTTTATATTTTCATTTTTTCAAAAAACTGTTTTACCATCAGTCGGTAAGGTAGATTCCTATCTCGGTAATTTTCATAGTTAAATTTTTCAAAAAGAATAACATCAGTCGGTAAGGTAGATTTCTATACCAATAATCTTTATATTTTCATTTTTAAAAAACTGTTTTACCATCAGTCGGTAGGGTAGATTTCTATGTCGGTTATTTTTATATTTTAATTTTTCAAAAAATTACCATCATTCGGTAAGGTAGATTTCTATACCAATAATTTTTATATCTTAATTTAAAAAACTGTTTTACCATCAGTCGGTAAGGTAGATTCCTATCTCGGTAATTTTTATAGTTAAATTTTTCAAAAAGAATACAATCAGTCGGTAAGGTAGATTTCTATACCAATAATTTTTATATTTTATTTTTTTAAAACTTTCTTACCATCAGTCGGTAAGGTAGATTTCTATGTCGGTAATTTTTTTATATTTTCATTTTTCAAAAAAAATGTTTTACCATCAGTCAGTAAGGTCGATTTCTAGGTCAGTAATTTTTTATATTTCAATTTTTCAAAAAAAGAATTACCATCAGTCGGCAATGTAGATTTTTGTGCCGGTTACCACCTTTATTGGACCCACATAATTAGGATTAGGAGAAGAAATAGGAGAAATATGACAATTTTGTATATTAAAGCCCAATTTCTTATATAGGCTATTATCTTTAGAAATCCGTTGTTTATTTATTATTTAATTTACCATTTACTAACTTTGAATAAAAATACAAAATCAAACTAGGCCAAAGATTTTTATTTTTATATTTGAAATTTATAATTTATTTTTAGATGATCTATTTCTGGTTTCTATATTATTATGCTTTTTGCTTGTGTGTATATCATTTATGTTTGAATTTCAAACGTGTGACTACATAGGTATTTTGATTTTTAAATATTTCAAATTTTTGTTACGTATTTTTTTTTTTAAAACATACATAATATCTATTTTTAAAATCGTTTTTTCTTTTAACGATATTTATATAAATAGTAATTTATTGAAAATTTAAATAAATATATTTATTTGCAATTTAAATAGAAATAAATATAAAAAAATTTTAATGTATTTAATTTAATTGTTATTTAAAAATAAATAAATATTAAAAAATTATTTTCTAAATTTGTTATAGATTACGGCCTTTGCGAAATGATCTTAGATTCCTTCAAGGTTTTCTTATATAGATATATATGTTTGCTATAAAGGTCTATTTAAACATTTTTTAAAATATTAAGAAATTATAAACTAAAAAATTGACACGTAGTTTTATAAATTTTGATTCTTATATTAGAAAAAGGAGAAAATAAATTATTTGTTAGTGATAAATATGATTAAAAGTATAAGATATATAAAGAGGGATAAATTGTACCTATATCGATCGCCCTAGTTGGTATATGCACTTAGAGTATGCAACCCTAGAAGCGTATGCAGTGTCTAGGTTAGTTTTCCTTCTTGCACTATTTACAGCGCGTATTTTCTATATATAAATACAATTCACGTGATTTTTTTAAACATTAATTGTAATTTTCTTTTAATTACTTTTAAGAAAACAGAATTTATTCAATATACTTTTCATTTTTATTACATAATTTTTATATAATATATATATATATATATATAATATTATTTAATTATTAATATTTATTTAATAATTGTCTACATAAATAAAAAGTATATAAATAGAAAGGAATTTTTCACACATAAAAAAACATGTGATCTATACATGTGTCTAATCTTATTTTACTTTCTTTTGTTGTAGATTCTTCAGGAACGTTCTTCACACTTCAGGTAAAGTTATTAAAATATTGTCATTATTCATGAGAAAACATGAAAGTAGAGAAGACCTTTCATTCACAAAACCAATTTTCTTTCTCTCGAATTGAAAAATGAAAATAGGCACAAATTAGCATAAAATAAAATAGACCCAAGTCCGGAAGAAGGTCGTGTCTACATCGAAACGTGTTGCCCTATTTTACTTATATTTTAATTTATCTTTTTTTCCTTTAAAAAAATATATTTATATGAATGGGAAAGTGATATTAAAGGCCTTCTACTTTCATTTCATTTATACAAACAATTTTATTGTCGTTAGTAAATTTTCGAAATTTGCAATAATATTATTTAAATTCTATTTTTCCTAAATTTTTCTCTATTAAAATAGAAAAATTATCATTAATTATAGTAAATAAAATTTTTAAATGAACATTAAAATATGTTTCTAAAATGTTTAAATAATTCTAAAGTTGATTTCCGATCCACTATAGCGATGTGCCGTTATGAGACCGCATTCTTTCGAGTCTTGCATGCGCAACGCCAGGCAGATTGTTACATCCCTGTTTTTTTTTTTTTTTTTTTTTGTCTTTTTTAAATTCCTCGAGTGATTGTTGTTTTTAATAGTTTTTGATTATTGTTAAAAATCATTCTATTGAATCATTTTTCTCTAGTAAATTACAGATAAACAAGTTCAATAACGTAAAGTCATCCAGTTAAGATACAATATATAATAATATATATATACATATAGATTTAACCAAGTATTTCTTAGTGATAATTTCTGTTATATGTGTCACGCAATTTTCTAGGAAAAACAGATGAAGAAAACAATTTGTTACGATCAGTCATTCTGTTCTCAATTTAAATTGTTGTAATGCTACTTGGTCCTGAGACAAATAAATAAACGTGTGAGTGTGTATATATATATATAACATCCGCTTGCTATATATATATATATATGCATGTACACGATATTTATCTTGGCTAAGAGAAAGTCGACAGACTATCTCAGACTATCTCGCGACAGCAAAATGTATTACGACACTAATAACTATGACGTCAAAGGGCTGCAATGGCCTTTTTTAATTTACATTTTACAATTTTTTTTCCATACATATGAAAAACAAATACTTTTGTTGACATTTTTTTTTTTAATTTTTTTTATCTTATTTACACTGAAAATAACCATTTGCCGAAATAATGAAAATAAAACCATCAAAATCAATTTTCGAGATAAGATTAGTCAATTAAGTGACAAATAAGTGACTTTGAATTCAAAAATGTTGTATTATTTATTACGACGTATTTCAAGAAAATATTTTTAAATATACTTATCAATAATGATATTGGATTTTTAGATTTTTATTCTAAATTTTTTTTTTATTACAGAAAATTTTTGAATAAAATTAAGAAATTAAATTAATTATTAATTATTTTGAAATTAGAATATTCTTTAAATTTTTATATTTAATTAGAATTTAGATTATAAAATTATTTGATTGGCGCAAATATTTGTATGGCAGATATATAGGTTTTTTTTTATGTGAAAATTTAATAATAGTTTTCAGATGAAATTCGAAAATATGCATTTTCCCGCGCAAAAAATTAATTCGTTAATATATCAAAAATTTAACTGCGGTATTTCCAAGATTTTTCACTTCGTGAAAGCCAGACATATTTCACACGAAATTGACCCACACGTGTATATACTTAAATGCTTACACATCTTCTTTGTAACCAGAAACTTGCATAGTTACATACTAACTGTAAAACTGTATGCCGGAAGTTTTTCATTATTTAGAATTTTTATGCTGATCACGCTGTGAACGCGTTATTTTCTCGTTTCATTTTTTTTTTTTTTTTTATTATACATAATTTGTTTTGTTATTATACATAATCAACTTATATTTGTTTTGATTTACTCAGAAATCTTTTTTCGTTTATCGTTTTTTTGCGAATAATATATACATAAAAAAAATATTTATTCAATTCTTTAAAAAAAGAGTGAAAAATAATTTTTTCATTTAGATAAAACGAATTAATTCTAAGACGTAGTTAAAATCAATGCCAATTTTTTGATTGTAAATAAATTGCGAATAATAGATTTAATTTGTATTCAAAGAAGTGAAAAAAAAAATGATATTCTAAATGAACGATATTTCTTGGAAGGTCCTTTGCTAATTTGAGAGCTGTGTGTTTTGGTGCATTT